TTTTAGGCCTGGAGCCCTGACCAGCGGTGCAGGTGGAATGAAGTTCTGGTCACTCACAGCTGTCTTGGGGCCGCTTCCACTTCAGCTGCACGTTGAGGCTGCGAGATGTATTGAAGAGCGAGGGGCTCAGCAGGTCATAGACAGCATAGGTTCTCTTGTCTCCCTGGACAATAGCTTCGTGTACAGATGCCGGAGGGGGTGTCACCTCCAGTAACTCCTTTTCCTGAGAAAGGAAACGGACCATGAAAGGAGAAGTGCTCCCTGAAGTAACTGGCAGCACTGGGGAAAGCCCCTCTGGCTGCTCCTGAGCTTTCCCACCCAACGACCAGCTTGGTCCTCTTACTAACACCACCACACTCATCCCTGCAGCCCTGCTGAGGGGAAGGAAACCACCTTCTTTCATTAGCCCCGGAGGGCTCCTGGGGGGTTTGGCCATGCAGGGGACGGAGGCAAGACTGTTTCAGAGCCACACAAAGTGACTGAACTGAGGGAGCAGGGGGTTCTCTGGTCCGTGAGCATTACCTTGTTCTTAGGGGAGATGTCAACGTAGACTTTGCTCTGCGATGCCAGAGGACACGCGTCAGTGAGCGTGCGAGAGAACATCTTAAAGAGGGACCAGTCTGCGGGAAACAAAGTCAGTGGCAGGCGGAGTGAAGTGCTGCAGGCTGGGGGCAGTCGAGGACCACAGCGTACTGCCACTGAGCTTACCTTTCTTTCCTTGGCCGCTGGAAAAGGTGTCAAAGACCACAGTGAGGGTCTGCCTGAGCTCCCAGGACACAGCCAGGCAGGAGGCATCCTGGACAAGAGGGAGACAAGTGGCTCTGATCACACCTTCTGGAGGGGCGGGACACCAGGATGGAGCTGGAACTCCACCAGGACTGCAAGAATCCCATCAGGACGCAGGTGAGACCAGAGAAGCAGGACAACAGCAGGACAAACCCACTGCAGGGGAGCTGGGCAAACCAGTGTGTCACCTTGCAGTGTCACTAGAAGGCTTCCGATTTTCTCTTGGGGGTGTTAAAGGAGCGAGCCCTGAGCCTCACACTCACCCTGCAGATGGGGCGGATGTGCACTGCCTGTGAGTGGTAGCTGCTGTGGAACAAGCGCTCGGCCTTCAGCAGCACAGCAAGCCCAGCCTGCAAGGGAGAAAGGGAGAAACTCAGCCCCAGGTCTGTTCTCTGCTCCCACTGAGAGAAAGGCCGTGATGAGACTTCCCAGGGCACGGTCCCAGATTGCTGTTGGGAACCCAGCTCCATCGGGAATCGCCCAACGAGGCAGCAGGACTTGCTGTTACCTTTGAGCCACATGGGAGCAGCTTCTTCCAAGGCGTGAGGTTCTCTGTGCAGACGACCTCCCGGGGCAGGACGGCATATCGCAGGAGATGGTGATCTGTCCCTGGGCAGGGAGGTGGAGGGTCAACAGGCTGGTACTGCTACAGGCGTGAGAGCAGAAGCAGACCTGTTCCACCCCGCAGTGTACCCCACAGGCCACCACCCTCTCAAATATGCCTGAAATGCCAAGAGCTCAATCAGGAATAGATCCCACTCTGTTCAGAGTGATTTGGAAAGAATAGGTAAGGCTATAGTCTAGCAGATTTTTTGCATGAGTGCCTTAAATCCTCTAGTCCTAACTGCTTCGTAAAATACTTTTCAGAGAGACAGACGAGGGCCTGGGAGCATCTGCCATGTACTGCTTGTGGGTTTCCTCTGTTCAAATCCAAGCCTCATTCATAGGGAGAGGAAATGCTCCCAGGAGGAGGTTAACAGACCCTGTTGTTCACACCCAGACCCAGAGTCGTTGCAGGACCTGCACCCGGACTCCCTGCAGTGGCACGGGGCAGAACTAAAGCTGGAGGCAAGAGTGAGAAGGCAGAGCCAGGCTCACCGTTGGCTAAACCCAGGGGTTTGAAGGACGCCGTTGGAGTGACTGTGTTGGTTGAGTCAATGAAGTTGAGAGAAGCACAGAATATTCCTGAGAGGATGTTACTCAGTTCTTTCCAGGCTTTGTCAACACTGTGTGAGAAGAGATACCAGAGATTACTCAGCAGCTCGAATCCTCAGAACAACTAGCGTTAAGTCAGTCACATTCAATAAACACACCGGGGTGGCCACACTGGCTTTCAGAAGCTGCAAGGAGCATACAGGCAGAGGCTGCTGGTCACGCACTCTCCAGCTCTCTTGGTATTTTATTCTAATGCATGAGATCTGGGGATGTTCACCGCAGGAGCAGCCCCTGGGCTGGCAGGGCTTCACACAGCCAAGGACCCGGTGGTGGGTGCAGCTGGTATCTGAGGAGGGAGGCTGGGGGAGCAGGGAGCATGCGGGACGTGACGTGTGGCGGATGGGGAAGGGGCTGTGAGACCCAAAGCAACACCTTGGTGCAGCTCTGAAGGCTGACCCGATAGGCAGACCTGGAACAGGCCACTTCTAGGGAGGAGAGAGCTCTGTGAGTCCACACAGAGCTGCCGCGGCTCAAACAAGGGCTGTGTGCTAAGGGAGATGGTGACAGGTATGGGATGGGAGTCAAAGGCAGTGAGTCACGGATGAGAGGTCAAGATATAACCCTGTCGTATTAGCGCAGCAGGAGGTTTGTCACTGCAGAGCCCATAAAGGAAATACTTTATGTAATTTTACTTTATTTACTGTTCCTTTAGTTGAACAAGGGTTTGCCCTCAGCACCACATCCTGCCCCGCGCACTGAGCGGGGCTACGTTCTGCTTTTCCTGAGAGCTGCTCCTGGGGCTGCAGGCTCTTTATTCCAGTGGACATTTTCCAACCCAAGAGGCCCCCACACACAGTGTGGCTGCCTCACGTGAGAAGGGTGACAGCTCCCGGGAGCGGTGGCCGTGGAGGGGACCTGGAGGACGGACCCGCGCCCAGGGTACCTACTCGGTGACGGTGGGCTGGAACCAGACCCAGAGCTCAGCGCCGGCGGGTGCCTGGAGGGGCGGCTGCCCCCAGGCCCGGGTGCGCCAGAAGCCCTGGGTGAGGGCGAGGTGGAGCTCCCGCACGCCCAGCGCCGCCACCAGCCGCCCCAGCGCCTTCGGGAAGAGCCTGTAGTGAGAGACTGCGGGCAGCGTTAGCCCCTGCCCTGCTCACCTCCCGGCCCCTTCCCCTGACGTCGCTCCAGGGCCTGGCCAAACACGATGTCATCCCCTGGCGCCACCCCTGCTCGCCTCGTCACACGCAGCCCCGCTTACATCACCGCCCCGAGCCCCCTCCTGCCGATGTCACCGCAGCCCCTGTCGCCTCGCTCCGCCCTGTTCCTGCTCCCGATGCCACAACCTCGCCCCCCGCCTCCGACCTC